TTTTAATAAATTTGATTTTTTTTAAAAAATAAGTTTTATAATTTTTATAATTTTATTTATTAAAGAAAAAATCTTATGGAAATATTAAATCCAGTGTTAAATGTGTTTTAAATTACAAATATAAAAAAATTTTACTCATTTTATACATTTAAAATTTGTTTTCATTGCATTCATAAATTTTATCTTGACTAAGAACTTTCAAAGTACTTCGGACTCACATAAACTAGGACGGAAGGCTTTATAATTTTATCAATGAACTCTAATACCATGAAAATAAATATGAAAATGGTATCATTTAAAATAAAAGGTACCGAATAAGACCTCAAATATTTACAAATAATGTAATCCAAACATCAGGTAGAAACAGAATTCACAAATTCACCCCACCAACTTCTAATCATCTTACTTCTCTCAAAAATTGACCAAGTTCCCTCTACCCCATCATAAAGCATCGTTAATACAATTTCTGAATTTTGTATAAATTGTTGCAACTCCTGTATAGTGAACCCATTGATACCCTGATGTTGGCATGCACGTATAAAGTATAACAAATTGGAAATGGTGATCTCTTGAATTTTACGAGACTTTTGAAAAATGTCGGAAAAAACCGTCATCCAATAACGATCTATGAATTTTATCATTGTATATAGGGACCACGGTTGAGGTTCGTTTATAATGTAAGTCCAGTCTTGTCCAAAATTGTTTTGAAAATGGAATAACATTGCTGGTGGAAGAAAAGTCTGGAGATCGAACATTATCTTGTCAATAAGTTGTTTGTGACATGACCCTATGTTTTTTGACAATATCCCTGTAGGAATCGCTGGAATCTTCGAAATCATCATCGAAACTATTTCAGCCTCCTGGACTTTATTAATACTACCGATTGCGGAGATTTCGGAAGATCCAAAATTTTTTGGAGCATGGATGGATGCATAAAGAGAAGATGATATTGGAATACCACGTTTTGAATTATCCGCAGTCAGCGAATGAGGTGTCACTGCTGAATATTGGTCATCTGTTTTATCCCTTTGTACATTACTCTTGCGATTTGATGTTGCATGGATGGAGTCATATAAAGACGATGAAACCGAATCAAAAAGATCATTATGACAATTCGAACTAGATTGTAATTGTTCAGAATTTTGCGATCTGAATTGTGGTCCGAGGGTAACTTCCGAAGGCACTGAATCGTTAAGTGTGGAAGATATTTGTATCAATACGCAATGTTCGGAATTTTGCGTAGTGGATGATATGTTTTGTAGTGTATCATCACAATCCATCATGATTATATCCGTATCCTATGAACCGGAAATATCATATAAGAATCTATAATGGACAAAAAAAGTGGGAAAACATTGAATACCTCTATAAAGTTTTCTGATTCTTTTTTGTAAACCACATCGGGATTGCTGTGACGCTCTAGCCGATTAATGGAATGGGTTTCATGAAATCTGGGTAATGTTTTCATGATATCGTCTCGTTTAGTTATTATTTTATTACTGTACGGCTTCAAAGAAAAAATTTTCCTAATGATTCCATCGGAACCTCCCTCGTTTTTATATGATGCTGTACTTAATTCTGTTGATTAAGAATACAAATATAAGTACAAGTTCAGTATATTTATTTTAGAAAATAAATTATACTTTCCATGAACCATAGCTTTGACACACAGATTTTTGTCGTTCGACAAAAGAATTATTGGATTCAAGGTTTTCGCTCGAAAATATCTTCGATTGAAAAAATCAAATACAGAAGCATTTGTTAATTATTTTATAATTAATATGGAAAACTTGCTATGTTTACAAAACAACCTACCTACAACAATCTAATATTTTATCATCATTATGCTTAAGAACCGATCGTAATTCATTTCAAGACAAGTAATAACATAAATATATTATGAATTGTTTTATCGAAGAATGAAAGGATATTAACAACAAGATAAAGAACCTTACTTCATGCTTTTCCATCTTTTCGTCAAGTCTTTGTCCTCTTATACCATCCACTTTGTCGACCAGGCAATTATGCAAAAAATAAATAGCGTTTTGCGCCAATTTCTGTAGGTCAGGTTGAATACCGTTAGAAAAATCATAGGATTTCATTGGCCTACTTTTCAACCCATCTAGCTCTTGCAAAACAATCCACGGTATGATTATAAGCAATCTATTTTTTTTTGCGTACTCCTGAATGAGAGTTTTTAGAAACGCTAGATGCGAAATAAGAAAATTAGTGTCCACAACGACATATGGCATAGATGGAGATTCCCTAGAGATCAACAAAGTTTCTGGTGATAATGCCTGGCTGATATAAATGAGTTAATTCGCGTCACGTACTAAAAGTCGCGGAATTAATGAAATAAATTTATGTATATAGTACACACCGCAGACGAGCTTTCGTAATTTACTTCAAGTGATTTATCCTTTCGAAATTCCTCTATTTGTAAGGTGATGTCCTGTAAGGTCCACTCATCATCGATGTCCATAAAGACGCACGCTTCCTCGTCAGCCATTTTATAAAGTTTAATAAGTACGTGAACACCTATGAAGTAATTAGAGACCGTTGATTGTTTTCCACGCGTTATATCCCACCGCGAGCCACCAATCAAATTTAAGCTATTGTTAAACAATTATACATACGATAAACACGATGATTTCTATAGTGACAAATTTGTATTTCGAGTGACATAGTTTTAATATATTAAATTACATAATTTTTTTTTTATACCTAATTAAATAACTCATAATAATTGGATTAATATTTTTTATTATAATTTAATAAATAATAATTTAATTAAGATAAAATTTTAAATATATAGAGAGACCTCTCTAAATGCACCCTCTATAAATGCATTTATTATATTTTCTCTTTCTAAATGCATGATCAAGTTTGGTCTCAAGTATATAGAACTCTTAATAAAACTATCTCCATAAATGCACACCCTCTATAAATGCACATTTTTCAAAAATTTTTCTATGGTTCCAAGGGGTATGCATTTAGAGAGGGTTCACTGTATATATTTTATATGTTTAATTAATAAATTTATTTGGAAATATTAATTTAAAATCAAAAAAATTATAAAAAAAAAACATTATAAATTATATATACAAATTTATAAAATATAAATAAAAATGAAAATTTTATTATAAAAAATTTTTTTAAAAATTAAATATAAAAATAAATAAAAATTTTAAGCTTATAAAAAAATTATAAAAAAATTATTATTATATTTAATAAATATTATTAAAATTAATTTATTTTTTTATTATATAAAATTTGTGTTTTTATAATAAAATTTAATTAAATTTTAAGTTAAATTAATTATTAAAAATTTTTTTTACTTAATAAATAATAATAATAATTATAATATTATTATTATAACTTTTATTTAACAAATATATGTATTTAATAATTTTTATTATTCAACCTATATTTGAATATCTATTATTAATTATTAATTTTTAAACATAATTTTGAAAATAAATAAAGTTGCTTATTCTTTTTTTTTTTTAAAAAAAAATATAAATTCATTACTTATAATTAAGGATTCTAATGATTCTCTTCGATTCTGTATTTGATTTTCAAATTTATATTAAATTTAATAAGTGGGGTATACTCTATTATTATTTTTAATAGTGTTCCAAACCTCATATGATTTCTTGTGATTCTATTTAATTCCAATTTTTGGAACCATACTTATAGTTTATCACTATAGTTAAAAGAAAATTTTAATAATATATTTTAAAAATTTTATTAAGTAAACTTGTTTTTTATATTCTTAAATATATTAATATAAATTTTTATTTTATTTTATTAATTAGTAATTAAAATATCAAAAATAAAAATTGATATATTGTTTAATTATTTTTAATCTATACTATATATAAAACAAAATTTTATAATAAATATTTTATTAAAACAATTACAGTATATAATATTTTTTCAATAAATTAATTATATACTTTATCAATTAAACTATATAACAATATTTTATTACTTAAAAATATAATAATAATAATAATAATAATAATAATAATAATAGGTTTTTTTAATAAATAAAAATTTATCTAATTTAATTTACTGTATTTATTTGTATATTGTAAAATAATAATTTTTAGTATTTAAATATTATATAGAAATACTTGTTTTTTTAATAATAATTTTAACTAAATAAGTTAAATTAATAAAAATATCTCTTGTTATTAATATTTTAATAAAAACAAAAATTTATTATTCTTAAGATTATTCAAATTATTAATAATTAATAAAACATCAAGTTTATTATATTAATTGAAGAAAAATTAACAAGTTTAAATTTATTTAATATTTTATTATACTATATATTTTATAAGTTACTTAAGTTATTATTTGTAAATTATTTAAAATATCTAAACTATTTTAATTTTGTTTAAATAATCAAATATATTGTATCTGCTTTGTCTAATTTAAATATTAAAATTAATTTATTTAAACTATTTAATCTAATAATAATTTTTATAATCTTTAATATAAAAAATTTATTAATAAAAAATTTATATTCTAGAATGCACAAATATGTAAAAAAATACTGTAATTATAATTTTGTTTGTTTTGTATTGTTTAATATACATTATTTTATTACATTATCAAGTATTAAATAATTATTTAGTATGTAGCCCAAATAATAAAATTTGAACCAGTATAAATAAATGGCGAATAATTATAATACAGTATAATCTTAATAAATTAAATACCTAATTTACTTAAATAATAATAATAAAACAATCTATTGAGAACTATTTCCGAAACAGCTATCTTTAAACATGTGATTGCAAAAGATTCGTGATATAGTAAATAATTAACGGATATAACGAACTGTTGAATTTTACAAATAGAATATATTCGATGACAAAATATAGAATTCTACAAATAAATTATATCCGATAACAGGACAGAATATATCATCAAATAAATTGTGTAAAAAAAAATTCGTGCTCGAATTCTTCAGCTAATCTCTGGTAAGGTCACAAGGGAGTATCAAGAAAAAATAATCCACCAGAAATAGAAGAAACTATCCGTTTTATGAGCTTGAAGTTATAAAAATCAGAAGATTCCTTTTCGATGAAGTTTTTCATTTTCGTGAACGGAACGCACAATTCGAATTTCTTAATATCTCCAAAGATTAAACGCTATTAACTAATGAAAAGCATCTTGTCCATTAACAACCCATATCCTGAACTACTATCCAACAGCAATCAGGTTTTGTGAAGGTTGGGTTAGCGATTCTACTTGTGCCAAAAGTTCAACAATACGTAGCTTCGGAATGAAATAAGAATATATTTCGTTAAGTGAATTTTTCATAAATCAAAATATACGAGTCAAATTGTATGATATATACCTGCAATTCTTCATTATGTTTTTTAACATTTTCATAATTTGTTTCCAACCTTTTGAATTCCTTATCTCGCCTATCTCTTTCGGATGTCCAAATCCTCATCTATAAAGAAAATACGTAAGCAACTCTGGAAATTTCAAATAGGATGTCATTATATATTATATACCTGTTTTTCTAGTGTATTTGTTCTTGTGTTTTGTAATGAAGATTCGGATTTGATTTTCAAGTCATCAATTATACGTGATTGAGAACTAGAAAATTTATGCAAGTTTAGAACGTAATTCAAATAATGCATGTAATGGTAAATAATATATACTATAAACTTTTACCTGACTAATGACTTTAATTGTTTAATTTCGGCTTCACCGAACTCCAGTTTCAGTTCCATTTTATGCCATTGCGCTACAAGGGCCTCCATGAGACGCTTTTGCTCCTGAAATTTGTGCGTGTCGGCTTCCCTAATGAATATAATTTGTAAGAGTTTTCGCTTAGTAACAACTATGAATGCATAGATTTCAAGGCATGTTAACATTGAAAGTTCAAAAAACTTAAGGATTAAGAGATTCGTAGTACCAAAGCAAAAGTTGTTTGGTTAGCTGGTCGATCTGATGTTCATATTCAGTTAATTTTTGTATTTGTGGCCCGGATACTTTAATTTGGTTTTCGAGGTTAAAATTTCTAAACAAGAAATAAACAAATAAACAAATGAATAGAAAATATGCAGAGTCAAACTTCAAGTCTCATCATACCTTGCGTTAGATTCTTCTATCTGTTTCTCTTGTACGCTAATGGTGAGCTATTTTTATAGTGTAAAATATTAATAGTATAGTGGAACTAAAAAAGAAACTTTTCTCATCAAATAATAATACCTTGGCTTCCCTCAACTGTTGCTCTAACTTGTCCATTTCCGTTTTCCATTCTTTTTTTTCTTCACGGTATTTTTTTAACTTTGTATTTAGGTCATCTGCCCATTGAACGTGTTTTTTCTTTATGTTAGATGTCTCATCTCGCTGTCTATTAAAAGCGGATTGTATTTGTTCTAATTGGGATTTTAAACTTCGACAAGTGTTGTATAAATTTTGACTTTCAGCTTCAACTCGATTATCAAGCACATGGTCACGATGAAGGCGACCAATATGTTGAAGGTGTTGTTGTTTCAGATAAAGCTCAAAATTTAGTTCATTTCGAAGCAGCATTATTTCACGTTGAAGAAACGAAATACTGGCTTGGGTATTTGATGAAGAGAGAGCAGAAGGTTTTGAAGGGGATGAGGGAATGGAAGAATTAACCTTTGTATTTGATATGGAAGGTACAGAAAGTTGCGATGTATCTGTAGGAGAGGTGAGTGAATTTGAATATGAGATTATCTTTGAAGCCTGTTGCACGTTAACGTTGGAAGAATCAAGGTCAGGCATTTAACTACTAATTAATTAGCACAATATGTCAAAAGAAGAAGTATAAAAATCGTACCCAGGGATCATCGCCTACGACTATATCAGCTCCACTTTTTAGGGCCTGATGAACATCCATGATTTCTTGCAATGATATTGCCTGTGAGGTTCGTCGAACCTTTTCTGTTCCGGTATCAGCTACCGAATCAACTTGTTCCAATACTTTTTTTGTTAAGTCTTCCATCTCGCTCGATGTTGACGTGTTTTCCATATCTAATCCCATACATTCGGCAACTACATCTGCAGGTTCAAGTTTCATCCACCTTGAAGTGTCAGAAAGCTCTTTTCGAGAATCGCTAAGAACAAGATTTGGATGTAGAGTATGACGCCGCAATAATGGCTACATAAAATTGAGGAATATTTTTGTGTCACTTTGATCCGTTATTATTTTATCAACGACGATGTAAATTTTCGACGTACCAAACTTCTAGAACGTATGACATCGTTGTCAATTTTCGTATATAAAGGGTTGGATTCCTTTTCCTCTAACCACTTTATCGGATCTCTTAAGAATTTCACAGTATTACATGGGAACATCCCGTATAGTATTGTAAAAAAATGTAAACAATTCGGCGGTGTTGATGGTATATTATCAAATGTTGAATCTATGTTGAATTGGTAAGATCATACACATTCTGTAAAGACCATCAGTTAAGTTGACAATTTCAGGGAAGAAAGCTCACCGCATTGTTCCCACCCGTCGCCCTTTTTTTCTTTTGGCGAGTAGTTACTATCGACAAAGACCTCATCATCCACTTCATCTTCATAATCCATGGAACTTGAATTGCGTTTGTCCCAACATAAAATTCTCACGAATATAATGTAGAGACGTGGGAGATAAGAGACGACGGGTGTACATATATGAGGTAGAAGCATGATAAGTGTTGTCAGTGATAAGGAAATCAGGGTGGTAGACGTATCTTTCTGTTAACAAATCGAGGTCAAATATATTTAATTGAGAAAATATAAACAGACGCGAAAAATAGATCACCTTGCTTCAACATGTTACCTGCAGGGATGTGAGTAAGGAGTCAAGAAGAGGCGTCTCCAAAATTAGGTGAATGTGTAAGCTCTGTTCATTTAAAATATTAGTTCTGGTTAAAAAATATCAGTTTTCTTTTTACCAAAGAATTCTGTCACTGTGATTAATGAAATATATGATCACTCAACCTGACACCGGATGAATTCAGCTAGCAAAGATAATATTTGTAGTCGATATTTTTGTTGAACAAAGTAGGAATTTAAAAGATCAAAGAAATCCTAAATAAATGAATGCCTCTAATATTAGTGTTTGATCGATCATCTCCTACGATCGTCAGAAGAACGTATTGCTACCTTGGTCTTGGCACCGCCAAAGTTTCTGAGCACATTGTCCAAATTTCTACACCAGAATGCGTGCACTTGTTCCCCCACTACTCCCTTTCCTTCGCCAGCCGCTTTTCCCACCATGTTTGTTTCCTTTAGGTAAAGTTCAAGAATTTCCTTTCTAAATGTTGTTACACGTTCTGTTTCGCACACTAATATGTCCCGTGTAATCCCTTTAACTTCTTCCACTATGTCTTTTGGTTGTAATGGAGAATGAAGGACGGGAAGTAGAACTCGACCCCACCAATCAGTTATAAAAATATCAGCTCCCAAAATGGGCAACATCGCTCGTAAACATTTTAAAAAAGCGTGGATCTTTTGTGGGTTGTTTTGCACAGAATTGAAGAGGGTCAGCAGTTCAGCAGAAATCTTTTCCGTTTTCTCGCGATCTTGCAAAGCCGCGAAGGTATCGATAAGATCGATAATCGGCTGAACATCAGAATTCGAAGAGTTAACAAAGGTTGTTATGCTACGCAGTATATCTTTTAAACTGGACATTTTTATGTGAATATTTTATCAACATCGAATAAGAAATATCGTTTATACTAATACATAATTTACAAGTTCCAATTGGATATGATAAATTTTAATTTTGACTTCGTTTCACGTGTTAGGCTTTCCATAGATGAATAGTTGGCAATTTACACGAAATTTGACGGTCAAAAGTCGAGGAGACGCAAGAGACTAGTGAAACGATCTGTTTTGCAAATGATATCGCGATTATCAGAATGGGTTAGCTGAAAACTTCATTTGCTCATTGAAGAAAGTTCGTTGGGAAAGCATCGCGTAAAAATTTATCCACGTGATATCATAAATTAGGTCCTTAATTTGGCATAGGCACATTATTCACCAACCATACTGCCATGTGAAGATAAATTTTTTGTAGTAGTATAAATAGCATCTATTTTTCAAAGATTTTTTTAAATAATAATATAATAATTCTTTGATTTTTGAACTAATTGTATTTTTAAAAATGTGGAAGGCTTTGAACAAGAAGCGCATGGCTTATGCGGGTTTGGCCGTCGTCGCTGGTGGAACTTCTTACTATTTTTACAATGCAAATTCCGCGAAAAAAAGGAATTATCAACGTCCTTCCACAATTAATCCTCAACTCTTCATGTCCGAGACTTACGCAGACGCGAACAAATCGGTTCTGTTTGACAAAATATCGGATAGGCCACACACTTTCTGGACCCCACCCTCGAGAAAGGAAATGTTGAACATGCTTAAAGATTCGGTCAAAGAATCCGAGCCTGTTTTCGATATTTTAGTTATTGGCGGTGGGGCCACTGGTGCAGGTACTGCTCTCGATGCTGCAACAAGGGGATTGAAGGTAGCAATGGTGGAAAGAGACGATTTTGCATCTGGAACTTCGTCTCGTTCGACAAAGCTTGTTCACGGCGGTGTTCGATATCTCGAAAAAGCTTTCTTAGAATTTGATTATGGTCAATACAAACTGGTAAGGGAGGCACTTCATGAACGTGCAACTTTCTTGCACACCGCCCCTTACCTGAGTTACCTATTGCCCATCATACTGCCAATTTACAAGTATGCATTGAGCAAACCTTTTGAAGAATCTCTGCTTGCGTTTTCCTCGTTCAAGAGCGTGTTCTGATATTGATGTCAATGCAGGTGGTGGCAAGTCCCCTACTTTTGGGTTGGAGTAAAGGTTTACGATTTCCTTGCGGGAACTGCAGGAGAGAAATTGGAAAGTTCTTACTTTTCAACTCGCAGTAAAACACTTGAAGCTTTTCCCTGGTTAAAAAAAGAGAAACTCGTAGGCGCCTTGGTTTACTATGATGGTTCGTTAAGCAATGCAACCAAACTCCTCGTGTAGTATTTATTGCGCGTAATTCTGTCATTTTTCATTTGTGACCCTTTCTTCCGTCACTGAGCATTCGCGAATCCATCACAGGTCAGCATAATGACGCGCGAATGAATGTGGCTCTCGCGTTGACCGCGATTTCTTACGGTGCTGTTGTCGCGAATCACGTCGAAGTAATGAATTTATTGAAAGATGACCAAGGAAAAGTTGTCGGCGCGCATGTAAGGGACACTTTGACAAACGAGGAATGGGATATTAGAAGCAAAGGTGTCATAAATGCTACTGGTGCATTCACAGGTAATTCGTGGAATCACAGTTTGGTTTTAATTGGTTCCACAAAGGTATGAGAATAATTGTGACACTGATATGATCTTTCACTCTGTTATCTAGATGGTATACGCTCCATGGACAATCCAAAAACAGAAAAAATTGTGCAACCTTCTTCTGGCGTGCACATTGTCCTACCGAATTATTATAGCCCCCGGAAGATGGGATTGTTAGATCCTCAAACATCAGATGGAAGGGTTATTTTCTTTTTACCTTGGGAAGGGGCTACGCTTGCAGGTACAACCGATTCTCCTACAGAGTTAACGTACAACCCTATGCCTAAGGAAGAAGAGATACAATGGATTCTGGAAGAAGTTAAAAGATATTTGAGTCCTGGTTCGTGGAGTTCATGAAAAAGTAAAGTCACGTGAATCAATTTTAATGAATGATTGCCTTTTTTAGATATCAAAGTTCGGCGAAGTGATGTCCTCGCTGCATGGTCCGGAATTCGTCCCCTGGTTCGTGATCCATCTGCTAAGAATACGGCGGCATTGGTGCGAAGCCACATGATTGATGTTAGTGAAACCAACTTAATCACAATCTCTGGTGGGAAATGGACGACATATAGGAACATGGCGAAAGAAACTGTTGATGTGGCCGTTAAAGTGCTCGGTTGGTTCACGCTTTGTGATTTATTTTTTATACTTTTATCATGCCTGTCGTTAGCACTAGTCATTTTATTAACATTTTCTGATACCTAATAAGGATTGAATCCATTAAATGATAGTCTCACTGAAAGAGCGAAACTGATTGGGTCGCACGGTTATTCGAACACAACGTTTATTAAACTCATTCAACAATTCGGTATAGAAACTGAGGTACATTTATTAAAGGACTATTTATTGTTCCTCCTTGCATTGAAAGTTCTTATTAAATCGTTTGACGCTGTCCCTCTAGATTGCCCAGCATCTGGCTCGAAGCTATGGCGATCGCGCGTGGGCCGTCGCAGCATTATCAAAACCCACGGGTAAACGTTGGCCAGTTTTTGGTCAACGAATAAGTCCCTCATATCCATACATTGAGGCAGAAGTTCGATACGCTGTCCGCCGAGAATATGCTTGTACCCTTGTGGTAAGCAAACGTCGCACTAATTAGTCGCTTGTTCGCGTTCTCATCTAATGAGTTTTTTTTCCTGAATTTGCAAAGGATGTAATCGCACGTCGCACACGTCTTGCATTCATTAATGCTCAAGCAACCCTAGAATCACTTCCTCGTATTATCGATATCATGAGCGAAGAACTTGGTTGGTCTCCAGAACGTCAAACCCGAGAATTTGACCAAGCGGTTGACTTCCTACAAACCATGGGCCTTCCTAAACAATCCGAAAAAATGACTATTGACAAGATAAGAAAAGAATCCAAGGCCTTAATTCGCGAGGCTCCATATAATCAATTGCAGTTTCAACCCGAAGAGTTGGCCAGTTTCCAAAAGGCATTCTCAGACCTTGACAAGTCGGGCGAAGGCCAAATAAAATTCGTAGAACTGGAACGGGCATTGACCCTTGTCGGAGTTTCTGTACCCGAGCAAGTCTTAACAACAATCATCACGCAAATGAACTTGAAAGGTAACGAATCGATAGAATATGGAGAATTCTTGGAAATTGTGGGCGGAATAAAAGAACATCTTCTTTCCAAAATTACAAACGATGACCAAATGAGAATTTACGAACAAAAACGTATTCCAATCGAAAGGTCGTCTGGTGGCGTGTGAATACTCATATTCTCACGTATCCAATTTCAAGGAAGTACCATTCGTGGATAGAGTTATTACATATATAGAAAAAGTATTTTTTTATATATACACACATTTTTTTTTAACCACCAGAAATTTTTTGCAATAATTTAATATCAATCATATAAAAAGTATAATGTATTTTAATTCAGTAAAAATACGGATGCATACAATGCATACGGCTATATGCTGTTTCCTTAATGAGAATATAATTGCTGTATACTTATTCATGAAGGCGGTTTCTAATATGACAGAGTACCAAAAATAGATTTCGTGAGGGTTTTGTGATACCAACATTAAAGTGCGATGCCATATATAAATGTAAGAAATTTTTTAGGTCAACTCTCTCACCTTGTGTGTATGCGTATTACTTGGTCCTTGTTCGCATTCGCCTGTTGTGGTCTTTGTAGGCATTACATAGATTAGATTTATGTATATAGGGAATTCGTTGTTTTCCCGAACGCAAAAATCCGGACATTAATTTCTTACATTTTCTTTGAACATTCGAGGAATTTTGTGTAAATAGACGAAGGTGTAAAAGTAATTATATAATAAAATTCTTTACCTAGGTTTTTCAAGTATTCACGCATATTTCTCGAGGGAATATGAAAACGCATGAAGTGAATTTCAGTACTATAAATTAGCTGCATATTGTACCTGCCGCCATTTTAGAGTAAATAGTTTTGTTGATTATCATTGTAGTAGGGAAGGAACCTTTTCGTGAAATTGTTACAAATACTTTGCCAATGCTTCTGAGACGAATACAGTCGATCTCTTCATCAGTCGCCGTCGCCACCTCAACACCTCTCACCGATGATCCTTACATCACCAGTGGAGGATTGGCATACGGAATCCTATGTACCGTATCCTTATTCCTGATGATAATCCTGGCCATCATTTACGGTCGGCTGGCTTACAACCGGGTATTTGTCTACTTCTGTCTATCCATGATCACATTATACGTACCACATATACTCGGAGCCTGGATCTACGGAGCAAATTTACGTCGAGCCCCCACGGCGATATGTTGGATTCAGGCATTGTGGATAAATGCGTCTGGAATTTCTGCCGGAATTACAGCACTGATATATTCATTCGAAATATACCGAAACATTGTCAAACAACGCGTGACCGACGGGGAGTGGAAACGACGGAAATATTATATGACAATATCGATCGTGTTTCCGCTGTTCGTGGGTATCGTGCCACCATTTCTAATTGCCGACAAGTCGGATGGAATTGTGAGTATTTAGATGCGCATATATAGATGACTAGTTCTTACACTTGTGACAATTTCGTTTGTTTATAATGGAATTTAGTTTGATTTATATAATTTTCTTTTTTTGTGGAAATCAAGGCACCCGGACCATTTTTCTGTGTGCTCAACAAACCAAGTATACCGCTGGTATTTGTTAGCGTGTCAGGATGGAATACCTTGTCTAGTCTTCTCGGGATTTACTTTTTATGTAAGCTGGCATTCACATAATTTCAATACTAAAAAATGAAGAAACCTGTGTTAATTGTCATCATTTATTCAAAAGTAAGCACGTGCGTCGCGGTGATAAACTTATTCCGCAATCGCAAAGGTTTTAATCCAGGAAAGTCCACCGCGCCACAAACCACCACACAAGGCTACGACCTCGGGGCGAGTACACCGCAATCAAATGGGTCTTCGGTAACAATGTCCCGCGAAAATTCGATAATTTACGAAGATCTAAGCGAGGATTCTTTCTCCGGACGAACTTTTGGTCGAATACCAATTTACGTATGCTTTCGATTGGCACTATTTCTCATTATGTATTGCGCGATGTTTGTGCTAATCTACGGTCGAAGCCTGGTGGTTAATCTCAAGCAAGACGACCTAAGCGTCAAAGAACCAAAATACGTAGAATACATTGTGGCATCATTAGGTATAGTGATATTTTTGATATTTGGTACATCGCTAGAGGCATGTACAGCATATTGGCGTTTTTTGAAGGCGGTGTTCAACTTTAAATGGTTAAATAAATGCATTGGAAGAGAAGAAAGTTTTGGGGACTGGGAGACTTCACAGAGGAAGAGAACAGGCGAACGAGGTGTGACAACTTTCATGACTAGCAGGGAGGTGACTGCTGAGGAGGGGGATACGAGTAAAAAGCCATCACAGGATGATGACTATCTAACGATAATTCGACGAATTCCTCCTATTCTTCGAAATAATAAATAATGTAGCTTCAATATCTGTACTAATTTATTTCATCTAGTTTTTAAAAGAATCATAAAGTTATATGAGCGATTAATTTCAATAGAAAATGTTGTTTTTCTACTCTTCTAGGATTTAACAAAGTTAGGGAAATACGTGACAATTTTTAGACACCGAGTTTAATTAGAGATACTCTGAAATAGATATGAAACTTGCGAACGGTTTTAAAGAATAAGAATCTCTCCGGAGGGTTCAAATGTGGAGGTTAACTGGATAAACAATTTATGGACGAACAAATTACAAAAACATTTTATTTCCAAAGTATTTCTCGACCTTTTTGTGCGGGTCGTTACTGAAGAGTAGACTTTAAGGCTAATCTAGCGGAGCAGCAGATATCTTACGTTTTTTTATATATTTAATTGATAAGAAAACATAAAAAAAAAAACTTTATCTACACGTTCTATAGCAAGAATGTGTTGAATGAAAAAAAGAATATATTAAAAAAATATTCGAGATTTTTTTTTTCAAAAAGAGATAAATTACATGTATTTACTTATTTATATATTTGATTAATTTTATTTAATTAAAGACAATTACTGTGGTTTATGACTTTCACTGTTGCTTAAAAAGGAATGGCAATAATGTAAGTAATAAGAATTTTATTATGTATTTTCAGGAATTACTTTTTTTAAAAAAATATTCTTGAATATATACTATATACAGTATATACAGTATATATATATATTAAATAGCTCGTTAATGACAAACAGTAACAAAACAATAAATATATTATAGCTAATCGTTAATATACTGTAAGTTAGTAAGCTTCTATCAAATATTGATTATTAAATAGTGAGAGCTACTACAGTATATTATTTTAGGGTTTAAATAAATTTAATTTTAGTTGCAATAATAATAATAATATTATTATTATTATATATAATCTGTTTTTTTTTTAATTAACAATTTGGACTATTTACAAAAATTTTCACCTTTTCTATTTTTATGTAAAATAAACCTCGACATTATATACAAGCAATATTGAACATAGTCAAAAACACGTTACTTTAATAGGATGTCATAACATTGCAGAATGAATATTCAATTAAAGTCGCTAATGAATTAATATACCATTTAGTGTTCTCTAATAACGGTAATAGTCTAGTTGGAAAAAGAAATAAAGAAAGGACCTAAAACTCAAAAATCAATATTACAAAGCTTTTCAATTGATACTTACTTCATTACAATATGGACAGTTTCCAATAAGTGTTTGAAAATTCTTTTTAGTTGAAGGAATAGCTTGAAGCCACTAGTTAATTGACAAATATAGTCAGATTTCACTATATAAATAATTTGGACGTCGACCATCAAGTATTGGCAAACCTCATATAGGCATATTCTATGAAATGGTTTTCCACATTTACTATTACTGCACGATCGATCTGGTATAGAATCCTCAAAGCGGTATGAATAACAAATTCCACAGTCAAAGTTAACATCCGAGGATGAAGAAACTTGAGGTGAAGGAAATGTCATTTCAAATACTTTTTCGAGGTTTTGCCTAACCGTGAGCGTTGTGTCCCTGGATAAATTGAATAAATGTATACTTCTCATTACACAAGAACGCTAAAAGGTTTACAAGGAATGGATAAACTGACCAATTATTCCAGTTTTTTTCTATCTTGAGGTGAAATGACTCAATTAAACTCTCTGTGCCAAACAATTTGTACTGACATTCTTCCCGTGGATGTTCCGTGTTAATTTCTATTTGTAAAGAACAATAGTTACCAAGCGCAATTCTGCGCATCAGATCGCTTCGTTTCGGTCTATCGGGTTCCAACACCGAAGTATTTGCATCAATATCATCAAGCATAGACCAAACTTCTTGAAATTTTTCAAATTCCTACAGAACAGATTAAATAAAATTTTACATCATTGTGGGCATCACAAACACCAATACTTCTTCTTACCTTAGAGTAGTAATTTATCACATCTTTAAGGCTGGTTGCAAGAATTTGTGCCTTCGAAGTTGATGGAAGGTCAGCATGCGCATCAAGTGGGGAATGAGGATATGAAAATGGCAACGAGATGAAGACGCTATGTTTTCGGCCTGATGAATCGCTATTTGTTCGACAGAATTCTTGGTTTAAAATCTTTATCAATTCATATAAGGATGAGTTACTCATACCTTAGCTTTAGAAAGAAGTTTTTCAAAGACGGATCAAGCGTCTCCAATTTGTCCCATCCAATCGAATTAATTTCCGACAACAAGCTTGAATAATACTTCCCTGTCGGCATGGGCTCAGGTTTTTCCTTAGTCATTATCAGCTCCTATTCAGTCAGATTTGTTTAAGTATCATGCTGAATTGTGAGATAAATTAGAAACTTGCTATGCGCACCAGTAAATCTTTAAGATCCAAAAAAAACTCTGAAAAGTTGGTACATTGTTCGATCCGCTATTTTGACAGAAAATTAGTACGCATATTTGCAATTCCATGTTAAGCACCAGTTAACAAAATAAATGCGAATACTTGTCGCAGAGCGTTCTCATGACCATGTATGAGCCTTTTCAGTTCGGGACATCCGTAAAGTTTTGCATTTTTCAATGTCTTTGAGTTAGGGTTTTCAAGCTGAATTTGAAAAGGCAGCTCCTGTCCCTGCAGCACGCGAATAACATTTAAATCATGATCCTGACCTTATCAATAAGTAATTTACAACGTAAATTTACCCTCACTGTAATAAAACCGCGGTAAGAAAGTCCCTCCAGGTCTATGGGAGAGAGAAGTGGAAAAATCCGAGAATCCATTGTTCGAGATCCGAGATTCGAATGTAGATACAGAATTTCCTTAAATAACAAGCCAACAAAATGATTGCTCCTTAATAGCACACACATTCCCCATAATAAAATCCTTAGTGATGTCCATGACTTGTAATAATAATCTGTTGCTTTGTGAAGCAAGAAAATAGTAATAAATTACACTTATTCTTATTATAGTTATAAAGAATAACTCATTATATTATTAATTATTATTATCATATAAAGTAACTGTATTTATTATTATTGATTTTCAAAGACTTATCGTCCAATCAGAAGTCAGGTATAAATAAAACATCAAATCTTAGAAAGTCTGGCGTCTTTGTTCCTCGATGAAGCAAAGAAGTGTGGTTACCTCCTTCTTGACTTACTCAGAGCAAGAGAACTCTTTTGCACAAGGAGATAAAATACTGTTGTTAAAACGAAGTGACAAAGTTCGTACTTACCAGTAAGTTTGCGGATATCCTTAATCACTTTTGGTTACAGTATTCCGAGGTGGATAATCACTTGTTCTTACTTCCAGACACCGTTGGGGGGGTGTTAGCGGTAGTATAGAAACTGGTGACAATTCTCCGCTAGAACGTGCCATAACTGAAATTCAACAAGAAACCAATTTAACACAGTCAGACGTGACATTAGTTCGCGCTGGTAAACCTATTATCTGTAATGCGGAAAATTATGATACCATTTGGACTGTTTATCCCTTTCTTTTTCGTTTAAACTCAAAGGATACTGCAAAAAGGGTGAATATAAATTGGGAACACGACACATTTCAATGGATCCAACCAGAAGAGTTGAATTCTTTTGACACTGTTCCGAAAATAGCGGAAGCCTTTCATCGAGTGTATCTGCCTGAAACTGCACACAATGAACTCATGTATATGTTAAACAATAGATCTTCTGGCGCTCGAGAATTAGCCGAGAAAGCGTTGGATATAATTGCCGAAATAATCAAAGATAAATCATGTCAAAAATTTGCACAAAGTCCCAAAGATCTGTATTTAGCGTGGCTCAACATAGGATGGCATATTTGCCAAGTTAGACCTACCATGAAGGCTTCCATCACTTTTACTGTCGTGAATTTGATGCAACAAATCAGAAAAAAGGTTTTAGAGGGTGACTCGTCGATTGAGTCAATTGAAAGAACTTCGTTTGATATTATTGAAAAAATGAAATTAGGTTTCAAAGAAGCCGAACAAAGGATCAACCAAGCATTCGCGTCGGCTCTGGTTTCTCACAAGATAATTGATTCCTTACACATTATGACCATGAGCTATTCTTCTACAATATTTTCTGTTCTTTCCAACTATATCAGTAGGAATTTATCCTCAGATAATCCTTGTAACATCACCATCACAATTATGGAATCACGTCCTTTAAATGAAGGTTCTACATTTGCGAGAAAATTGTCCGCTCTACTTCCAAACGCGGATTATAAAAATCAATATGTTAAAATTCAAGTAATTACAGATGCATCATGCGATTATTTCATGCCTACCGTGACACATGTTCTACTTGGATCAGATAAAATTTTGAAAGATGGATCAGTGATAAACAAAATGGGTTCGGTTCCTTTGGCATTGGCAGCAAAACATCACGGAAAGATCGTGTTAGTGATATCAGGAACTGACAAGATAGGTGGAGACGAAGATGAGACCATGGAAGAGAAAGATGCAATCGAGATAACTCTGTGTTATGCGAAAGAATGGAACGATGTGGTAAGGGAGAAGGGAGTTACAGTGAGGAATGTGTATTTTGAGAAAGTCGAAGCAGGTTTGATAGATGGTTATGTCACCGAAGGAAAATTGGAATTACTTACAGTTGAAGACATACGATCGTTGTGGGACAAGAGGAAATCGATAGAGAATATTTTCAATGAATTATCTCGGTCATAAGTATTGCACCTATCTATGATAGCTACCCTCATATGTTGATTTATGTGAAAAGATGCTGTCAATGAATGGCAGCATGTAGACCAAGGGATGGATGCAATTTTATTTTTACATTTGAACTGTCGCTTAAATGATCATTTGGTTTTAAATTGTTTGCGTTTATAAATGGAAAGCTAACATTTGATTTTTCAATTTGTGACCAAAAAGAATCATATCTAATTAACAAACTATATTTCAATGTACAGCATATACAGTGTCTCCATATACAAATTGGTTATGCTAGTATAGTGATGAAATTAAATATTTGACCAAAGTTGCAAGATTAGATTATAAAAAAGAATTTTTAATTAAAACAAGTCAAAATTTGTTATAAAAGAAATTTATTTATATGAGCAAGCTACTTCATAAATTTTTGTTATGAAATTAAAAAACTTATTAAAGATAATGCTTACTTCATAAACATCTCAGGTTCTTGATGATGTAGAATAATTCCCGATAAATAAACCACAATGCAAGCACAAAATTATCTTCTTTCAAGAATATCATTTTACAATGTATAATCTGTTATTCTCAAATCCCAATCGATCAAAGAATATAATATATTTCGGGAATCACCATTCATCTAGTTTCGATTGACATATGTTGAAAAATCCATTAACGGACATAAACTTTTTTAATTACAGTAAACATTTAATAAACAATTGTTTTATATCTACAAATCTGCAAGTTCTATGTGTCTTAAAGTAATATTAATTGTTCAATTCAATTCCATCAATGTAAAATAATCTTATACATTTTTAATAATTTACTGTAAATTTTGTTTGCAATCTATCCGATACACTCCTAATATTAAACATTTTAATATTTTACAACTCATCCTTGACTGAAGGAGCATCTTTATGTGTGGATGAAGTAACTTGTTCTGATTCACTAGATTTATCTTCTTCCTTTTCTTTGCCTGTGCTTTCGGTTATTACTTCGATACTCTTCGTATTATCTTCAGCCACACTCTCAATGAATGTTTCTTCGTTTCTTTCGACATCTGAGGTCTCTTGATCATTTTGAATTACAATATGTGATGACGATAAAACTTTTTGCTGTACGATTCTTGTTGACAGATCAGCTACTTCTTTATCATATGATTCCCATTCTGGAATTTGTCGCTTGGCTCTATCAAGTTTGGGCTCCTTGGTCAGTGGGTTGTTACACTGTTTCCAGAAAAAGAAATACCAAATTATGATTTGCAAATGTTAAATAAATAGGTTGTAAAAAAAAAAAAAAAAAAACTTACGAGATCAATTGTTTTAGCCCTAGCCAGAGATTCGTCACTACACCACGTTTCACACCATAACCACTCTTGGGGCAAAGAAAATATTGGGATCATATGTTGCATATTATTTGGCAAATCTTGATCTAAGTTTGAAAGTGAATTCGGATCCGCGCTAAGCGCTTGATATTGACCACGCAAGTAATCTCCAGCAGCCATTTGGCGAAATCTTTGCAAATCAATTACATACAATGCACTAAAAAAAAAAAATGGTTATGATAAACAATAAAAATCCCGTGATATAAGATAGTTGAAAAGTACTTTAAAGAGATCTCACCTAATATGATAGGGTTTTCCGTTTAGATGTTCTTGCCAGTAACCGGACTTCCAAAATCGGAAACCATCCATTTCGGGTCGATTATCACAAAACGGTGTGTATCCGTAGGGAGCACCTTGTAAATCCATATCAACCAACTCTTTAAGATCAGCACGTACTATTTGATCGGCATCGACAAAGATAACTTTGTCCAAATCGAGTGGAAATAGTACATCGAGGAACAAAATCTTATATCTAAATGAGTTAACCAATTTACATAAATGCATTAGACATAAAGTTTTATAAATGCAAAAAAAAATAATAATAATTCGCACCCCCATATCGTTCTTTGTTTCTCTGTCTGTGCACGCAACCAATGTGGCCATTTGTATGTGACGAGTTCGTATTCAAAGTTGTATTCTTTCGCCATGTGTGGTATAAAATCCTATGAAATCATGTGTAAATCAAATTATTCTCAACTATAAACACACATCTGAAGAATATTCCACGTATACTTTTCTAACAAACCTTAAAGGAAGGTGATAGAAAATTTTCGATGAACCAAAATTTGACGCTACTCTTTGTATGCCGAAGTACACTAATGATCATTATTGAAAGGAATCTTTCATAGAGATGTCCAGAAGCCACCGAAAAGATATTGATGTCCGCTTTTTTTTTCTTTGATTCTTCCTTCGTAATAGAAAACCTTCACAAACAGAAAATGTATAATATCAAACATAAGCGAAAAATGCAGGCTATTAAAATGACCGTGAAATTTATTCGAGGTGGCGCACTTATTTTTCAAATAATCCCATATGCCGTCATCGCTACCGCTGTCATCATTTTCATAAATTTTTTCGTTTTCTTTACCAGGCTTTCTCATCATACGTGGATAAAGTAGCAATCCCTCAAAGTTGTCCAGAACAATCTCATTTCCAATCTCTTCTACACTCCTACTTAACCATCCTTCGCTACCCACACTCTGAATATCAAATAATTCAATCGATCTCCCACCCCTTAGTCTCAAGGTCCATACTCCAGGGTTGGCTTTCAGTTGGAAGTATCCAAGATTGGCCATTACTATGGTATCTACCATTGAAGGATAGCTATTTGTACCAAGTATCAACTGGAGACCGCTTGGCGGCGCGTTCAATGTTATGTCGCGCGCATGTCCTTCAATCAAAATGTGTTTCAATTCGAAAGTGGCTTCCACTCCTTTAGCTCTTGATCGAGCATCCACTTTTGACAATTGGATATTGTCAAGGTCATAAATAGATGACTTTGGAGTTACAAGCCAAGGTGATATAACATCCATTCCTAGAGTTAGCAGCGGTTCCTCTGGAAGGCCGTTAAAATATGCAGATGGTGGTATAGGTGTTCTGATTGGTAAAAAATATATACATATATATCAATTTTTCGATAGATGTTATAAAGCTACAAAACAGATGTAGATTAATTACCCGGTGGTGGAGTTAAAAGTTAGTTTGGGACTTAAGACATAACGGTAAAAACGCTTCAATGAAATTTCTTCCATGTGCACAGAAGGACTCATGTATACTTCCAAGAAAACTCCATCTATCTGTGATAAAGTCTAATGAATGGAGAAGGTTGAAAGTAAGCAAATAATTAATTCAAAATTATCACTATCAATAATCATCTTTAACAAATATCAATGGTACGAAATTTACTATTAAAATAGTCGACCATTTTTGCGCAATCTCGCTTATAGGATCAATAACTGCTGCAAAATTGTAGATTGCATCTTCAGGGTTGCCGATTTCTATTCGACTGATCATTGAAAGAATAAAGAACCATCGGGTTATCAAATTTTCTTGTTATAAAAATTTATCTACACTTCAATAAAATCTATCTACCTGATATCTCCCTGTAGTTCTTTAAACATAACGTTGCGCCTATGCTCCTGATTATTAAATAGCCCAACCGGAACATCCGACGTACTAGAAGCAGATATTATTGAAGACGCTTTTGCAATGAAATCCGAATAATGAGAGCTGAAAAAATTTCATAATGACAAATATTTTTAACAATTATCGCATAATTTTTTATAGATATCATCCCGAGATAGTCAATGTATTATATACCCTTTTAATTCTATATTTAATTGGAGCTCGTCGATGGCCTTTGTGACGGGAGAAACACGCTCGGAGAGTTCATAATCTACTAATAATTCAAAATCATCCACTTGAAAACCATCATCCAGAGGAAAAGGTCCGATTATCTAAATGATTGAATTATAAATTAACTCAAACAGTTGTCGGAAGGAATAGGCAACTAAATTAGTTCAATTCTTACACGGCCATTCAAGATAAGGACCGTGTCATCATCGTTAAACCTCAACGTCTCCTTGAAAGAAGAACTCAGGCTTTGCCAATACTTTTCTGCTTTCAATCTATCAACCACTTGCCAACCGGCAGATCGCGCAGAATTAATTTTGCCATCTGCATCAATCGGAATTTGCTCTCCTTCGACATAACCTCCTTTAATTTGACTATCTGAAATCGCGTCCAAGTATTCCCCAAAAATCGCCTGGAGGTCCTTGGGACTTGGTGTAACAGTCTCCTCATAAAATATATAATGTATCATTGAAGACATACTGGGAGCTTCAGGTTTATCTGCAAATCCAGATCCTGGGTGATGCATCAAAGACAATCTCACATCTTTTGTCGAATCCTTGATGCCACGGAAAGGTACTTTCAGTAAAATTATAATTATTTTATATGCGCAAAGGTAAAGGAGCACGTACCAAAAACTTCAAGGCATTCAGTGCCTGCTTGGCCCCGTGCTCGCAATCGAAGTTGGTTATTAACAACAATGTCACAGGAATCTTCTCGTCATTATTGTTCGCTGCAACATTTAAAAAAGTCTTATATTATAAACCTTGTTGTTTTTTTTCGGCGAAGCCTCTCATCAATCAGGTTCGATAAGAAAAAAAAACAAAATAATAATAGCCAACCAGACCTTTTGATATATATTTCAAATCCTTAATCGGAAAGCCATTAACCAAGTCTATTGTCTTCAAAGGTTGCACTTCAGATACAAAAACATAAGGGTTCCTCCTTGAAGGAAGATTTGGCAGCGTCATGAAATATTCGTAAACATTAACTTGGTCATCAATTTCGCCAGCATATACCTAAATGACCTTCAAAATTATTTCGTCCCATCTTAATAACAAGCGATAACAAAGCGATTAACACTGGACTCACTTTTTGCTGCAAAAACACGGTATGCTCATTAACGGTTTGTACCATGTCCCGTTGGTAATTCTAAATCAGAAATAAAATGAAAGTCACCAAGTTGAATCGTCAGGTTAACAGTTTCCTTGCTATAAATGTTCATCCACGAAATCTCTCACCTCGGTCATATCAAAGAGTTTTCCATTCATGAACAAGATACCATTACCGCTCGCATCTATTCTAAATCTATGGATAAACTCCATCGCCCCATTAATTTGTTCTTCCACCAAAGAGTTATTGCCATCAATAATTTCAGCGAAAGAACTAATAAGCTCTTTGTTTTGAGGATTTTTTCCCTGAACAAATTTGTCGTACTCTTCCTTGGATGCTTGGATGAAATCAGCTGTGGGCGATTTACGGAATTTTGAGTGGAACTGAACCGAAAAGACAATTACCGTCAACATCGAATATATTTTGTCACCGAAACACAAACGCGATGTTGACTTCAATTACATACAAAATTGAGTAATTCTAACGCCATCGATGGGGAGTATTGATCAACAACATAATAAAAAATCCTTGCCATCAAAATGGCTTTCAAAAATAAATAGGACGTATTCATTAACCGAATTCCTTGATTACAAACGAACAAATTACAAATTTCTTTAAATAGAGAAAAGTTTGATTTGCTCACAGTTTTGATGATCTTTGGAAAAAAGGGGAACGAGACCGAATCGCAAAGGAACGTTTCGAGATATAAACACGTACAGTTCACTGATAACTCTGAGACTTTCGATGGCGGAAAGGTCGATGACAAACAGCGTTGAGAACAAGTTCTTACGTAAATACCGCATTTGCCCCGGATAAACCGGACGTAGAAGCTGAATAAATTTTGTAAGTACTAGTTTACACCAAGTGTCTTGGAAAAAAAGTAAGGTAGATTCATGTGTACCTCGTAAATGCGATCAGGCCACATGGCATATCTTTCGTCCCTCTCCAGGTCATTGAGCCACGCGACCACATTTTTATTTGGAGAAGTGTCGCGAACATCAAACACACCTCTCGAAAAATCCTGGGGTGACTGGGCTTGAGAGATGACGGGAGAAGAAAGTAGATCAATAGCTTGACGCGAATTCATGCCAAGACTTTTCAGGGATAAAACAGTCTGACGTTCACGACGCAACAACTTTAATAAGCTGATGTGGAAAAAGTTGTTTAGACATAGGCCAGACGCACGCACTGCTTAGTTTACAAGATGTACCTGAATGGATCAGCAGATGTGGGATTTATGATCAATCCATTGAGCCAGAATGAATTCGCGTCTATGCGATTAATATACCGATTTTTCTCGATCTCTTGTTCCAGAGAGGAGTTTAAAGGAAGTTGGGAGATTGCATGTGAATACTTTGGGAAGTCTTGTGACAATTGCGCAAATGCCTTCAGAGGATCGTGAGATCCCAATATAAACTGTGCCGCCTTTACCCCAAGACCTATTGTTAATTTGAAATATTTTATATTATGAAGAAAAATTGCGAATGTTCAAACAATACGAGACACGGCAAATATAGACTACTTTTAATTTCTCCGGATTTCAAAGGTTTAATTTCAGAGATATATTGGTCAAACAAATGATCGCCGGATTTATTGAGAGGTTCATCCTTAGAATCCTTAGGGTCAATTTCCTTATTCTCATCATCTTTTGATAATTGAAGAGGTGTCATTAGTTACATGTCACAGATCAAAGATCAAAAGAACACATTATAATAATAAGCGTAAATAACTTTACTACACCTATTTCTTCTACTTTACGATCATCCACCACGATGTAGTCCATATTCTTTAATGCCAATTCCACACCGTATCCCGATAGATATAACGAATCACGATTCCCTTTTGGCGGTACATAACGCAAGACATAGTTTGCTTCTACTTTTTCAACCAATGTACTCACAAAATCGTGAAATTTGGGAAATTTCGGCGATAATAGATCAGCGTACAAAATTACTATTGGTTTTGGTGTCTTTGCCTGGGACTTAAGAACGTGATCAAACGGTAAGAGTTTAGGAGAAGGTGTGTCACTGTCAATACGGATTTGTTAATTCGAGAAATAATACTCGAATACTGAGCACAATTACACGTGTGAAGGAAGCAATTACCTAACGACATCCAACTTAAATTTCTCGAAATCCGTGAAACCAACAAGATTTTGAAATTCCTCAACACTGCAAGCTTGATGGTCATACCAATCAATCCAAACTTCACAATCTGAGTTGAATGTTTGATTAGAATCACTTCTGGATGGCATCACGGTTGCATTATAATAGTGATAATAGGCATGAATTGCCGGTGCCGTGGTATGCAGGGAAAGGGCGAATTCGACCAATGATTTGGTTGTTGGTGTTGATAAAAATTGATTCTTCTCGATTATGTCGAAAGCAGAATTGTATACTTCCTGGACCGTCAATTTCGAGGAAAACAATCCTCCTTTCAAGAATTCATTGACGAGCGGAAAATATGCCGAGGAATTCTCGGCGGTTACCGATTCTCTGCGAGGATATTGGAATTCGAAACGATAGGTTAACGAGTTCCGAACAATTTAGGAAACAGAAAAATTCACATACAGAATCTCGAGAATAAGAGGAGGTGCGTCCCAAGAAGTTTTGAGCCACGTTTGAACGGGCGTTCCTGCATATGAACTTGTAAATATCAAATTAAACAGACATAATACCAAAACAATGGTATCAACTCTTAAGATATTTTTTGATTTCATCTTAAGCAAGCTTTATGTAAAGAAGATTGATAGGACTTATATCACAATATTTCCAAGTCACGAGAGTTACCTGTTAAGGCAAAAATGATCACCGTCGATATGTTAACCTTAACTTGTCAGATTCTTAGAGGGTCTTTGCATGAGTAGATGCAATTTACCAAACAGAGTTTGCAACAGGAATTCATCAGCTGTAGGTCGAAGTCGCACCCTTCAAACTACTATTTGTCATGCCCGAAGTGCAGATCCTATTTCGATCCACCTTGATGCTTCTTCAAAATTTTCCCAAATGCTTAACGCGCCGAAAATTGGTTACCCGGTTTGTTCGAAATTTAACAACTGACACAAAAGGTATCCAATTATATTCTGGTACCTTCGTCCTCAGATGATAACAAACTCTCTTTTTCCGATACAGAAAATGTACCGGCGATGGCAAAATACGCGCCACCATCCTCGATAATAGTACCCGAGAAGCAGTTCCCGCGTCCCAGTCTTTCCGGTAAAAACTTGATGAGACTGCTCACAGAGGAGGAAATAAGGCGACGACCTCCCGAACGGGAAATACTTTTTAGGAAGAATAAAGACGGAGTTAGGGTGGGTGACGTGCTCCTAGTAGAGAGTTTTACGCATCAGGGAAGCGAATCGACAACCTCTTTTGCCGGCATTTGCATTTCGATCAGAAGACAAGGCGTCGACACCAACTTCACCTTACGAAACATCATATCGAAGGTTGGGGTCGAAATAAGGTATTCACTGTTTTCACCGATGATCAAAGATATCAAAATCCTGCAAAAAGGCGAAGGGTTTAGGAGAGCAAAATTGTTTTATTTGAGAAATCAACCGGAAAAAGCTTTCCAGAGTGGCGGCTTGTTGAAAAAGGAACTAAATAAGAAGGCGGAAACCCAGACAGGCAAAAAATGATTTTGCAAAATTTCATTTGCAATGTGATTTTCGGAATGGTATCGTGTCAGCCGCGCGAAAATCATATGCACGAAGAAATAAATAGTGTTTTTTTATTATAATTATATTTACAAATTCATAAGACTTTGTCACAACCTGTAATGCAATGATGCACATACAAGTTTAGATGGTTTCACGTATTTTATTTATTCGTTGATGAGCTCAAATCAAATCGACCAAGATCAAAATTCTCTGATAAAATCAATTACGAAGTTCCATTCCCGCGATAATATCCTAAAAAAGACAAGGAATCAATAGAATCGAGTCTAATATATCGAACGCATCACACGAAATCGCTACCTTACCTGAAACTTGTTAATGTTACGCAAATACCAATCCCCATAACGGCGTCCCACTTTGGATTCGGCAATATGAATCATGTCCTGCATTTGCACGAAAACATCAACATCCATCTACCCAAAACAACGGACACGCTTTACATCTTCAACGCTTACCTGCTTCAAGCAAAAGTCGAGATCCGAAGTTGTCATGTATTCTCCTTCAAGTAACGTTCCGCTGACCCATTTTTGTTGACGTGATTTTTGCTTAACGATGAGTAGCTGAGTCCTAAGTTGAAAAAAAAAAAAAAGGGACAATATTTCAATATAGAAGTTGATAGCTCAAATAAAGTAAGAGGAGTAACTCATCAATCACCTCAATTCATCGGGCGGAATTTCCAAAAACGCGGCCAACTTGTCAATTCCCATGGTCGTGTACAATCTCAAGTAAGATCGTAACGTTGGAATGAGAATTTGATGACGCACTTCCGCGAGGAAAATCTTCGCATGATGGTGATGTGGTTCCTGATGAATCAAAAATCATTCAGACGATCGCCACAATAAGTAGAAATAAAGAAACCATTATTATTGAAATGTATCTTTTACAATTAAAGCGCTGGAGTCTTCGAAATTCGGACCGATTGGTGAAATGAATTTCGGACAGGCGAATAGAAATAATTCCTCGAACGTTTGTAGTCCTTCATCACTAAAAAAAATAATATGCTAAATGGAAAATGGAATAAGATCTTTATCATCAAATAATCGAGTTTACGTACCCACGTTGCATCTTAGACAAGTGTTCACCATATTTTTCTCTCATGTGAGTGTGAATATTTTCATCCAACCTCGTTGGACACAAGGCAATACAAATGGCCAACAGAGCATACATTTGATCACCTTTTTTGCTGATCTGTGTAAAAAAAAAAACAAAAGGTTCCAATGTATAAGCCAAGAATCACGTAAATATTTTAAAGGAATCTTTGAAGATGAACGAAATCCTTACCTGATCAAATTGATAAGATCGTGTGTGATACATTTTTGTTCTCGCAATGAAAACGAGTATGTGCGAAAAAGCCTTAATGGCATCCGCGTACCTTCGCATCATCATATACGAAAAACCAACGTAGTAATAAGTTGTGACATGGCATGCTGTTACGCGTGCAAAGAGAGCCTGTATGTGTAATTTCAGACATAGATGAGTTGAATGAAGTCAACAAAGAAAAACTCGAGAAATGCATTGAACAATTGGCTGGTCGTACCTTCTTATTGAGTTCAATATTATCCATCATCTTAAGTGCCAACGTGTAATCACCCAACAAGCAATGGACTCGCAAAAGACCGATGATGCTAAAATATCCTAGCATCTTGTACAATGGACGTGAACCGTATTCCCCAGCAGCTTCACTACACACGAACATAATATGCTTGTCAAGTGTGTTGCAACTCATGTAGAAATGCTCGATTCATTCCACCTACATCATATCACCACCGTGCTTGGTCACAAGCAATTGCTCGGTGATCTTTGATTTTGTGATGAGCGAATACAAGACGTTCAATACACTATAACAACTCCAAACCTAGATTTATGATACAGATGTTAGGAAGTCAAACAAAAAAACCCATGATTTGATAGATATCTCATTGATCAACAGAAGATACCTGAAGGTTTTCTCGCAATAAAGCGATTTCTTCATCGGTCTTGTTCTTAAGTCGGTTACGGTAATTGCAAAATGATTGAAATTGATAAATAAACTCGTCGATGATATCCCAAAGCCACTGATTCGGCAATTCCAACCCAACAGGACCATCAGAGTCTATTAAACAATTTCAAGGGTATGTGTCATTGAGAAAGATACACCGAAGGCCAGTCAACGAAAATTTCCTCGACTCACTCAGAATGTAATTAAACAGATCACAATAATTTTCATACGAATGAAAACGATGTTCAATGGTAGGGGATAATTTCGAATATATGTGACGGTAGTAAAGTTCCCGATACAAGGTCAGGAATACTTGATCTGAATTAACAAAGACAATTGTATAAAAAAAAAAAAGTTGAGGATTTCGAGATAATCGATAAATCGTCAAACAAGATACCATCGTTGACCAAAGGTGCAATGAAATCGGCTTCGGGCCAAGTCGTTTTTGAATAGAATTTTTCCGTCAGCCGATTAAAAGAGTTTTCGTATATCCCATGCAACTCGTATACATTGTTTTCCAGAATGTTTCGATGAAAAAACATTATGAAATTCTTAACGACGTCGGGGATCTCTTGAGCATACTGTTGCTGAAGCAACAATTGCATTTGTAATTGACCTTAAATATTGATTATTAAGGTATAAGTTTAATGCGTCAACCGAGCAAGAGTTACTTGATCGAAGAAAGACAGAATATTACCCTCTTCGTCCAATTCTTCGTCAACTCCCATGTAAGCACCGCTGTTGGTTATGATATCCATGTCGGCAGGATCCAATTCGTCCTCAAAACCATCTTGATCTTGATACGTCGCCATCGCTACTTTGGATATCGCGTGAATAATCGGACGATGCCTTTTTTTCAAAAAAAAATTTTTTTTTTAGTAAAACCATTAATTGACTGGTCACATGACAAATTTTTTTACAAATCTACAGGTTAAAAAAAAAATACTTGATTTTTATTCTTTTTTAACGTTTAAACCAAATTTTTCGAGTACTTAATTATTTATCAAAAAACGACAGTAAAATTATGTATAATTTATTCAAGAATCGTTTTATTTTCTTAAAGTATCTTCTATTAAAAGTTCGTTAACGTCGATACCGAATAGCTCTTCTACCTTATTTACAAAGTAACTCGGGAATGGGGCATAAACTTCGATCGGATTTTTTAACGTCTTCCCAGAAACAGTTCGCCAATTCTTCGAATATTAAGAAATGGTATGGTGAATTCATGAGAAACCCATAAAGCACATTAAATCAATTAAACCAAGAACACTCACTCGAATCACGAGTCTTCTCAAGTGTAGATGCATCGGCTCAAGTTCATTAGAAGCACTCTCTAAGAATCTGTATTTATTATCACCTAAAATCGGCGCTGTAATTTTCATTAAAGAACTTGTAAATTCCTGTGAAAAACCGACAAGTTAGGCACAAATTGAACTATACGAAAATACCCTCCAAGATCGTGGAACAATGAACTCTCAATTGATGCTTTCTACCAGTCCGTGGGAACAATCGAAGTAGCGCATAACCATTTGTACCAGCCAAAACTTGAAAATCCGTTGTCGCCGTTTTCGACTTTGCAAATAATGGCGAATCCTTATCTTCGACGCGAACAAAAAAATAATCATTATATTGTGATCCACAGATGCGCGCGCGTTGGATACTCGCGACATACCTGTAACAACCTTGACCCTCTCAAAAGGTGGCTTACCACCATAAACAATTGGTATATTTATTCGTCTTCTTGTCATATCTCGTGGTAAAAACCTTGTAACCACGGCCGTATACTAGAAATATGGTTAGACTAAACATATAGGCATATTTCGCAAAAGAGATGTAAGTTGTGAAGAAAAAGTACCATCTTTTCCACCGAACTTTCTCTAAACATTGATGATAATTGACCAGCCGCAGATCTTGTCCTTCCAAGCAACAACGCTCCGGTCGTGTTCTAGGGAGAGAAAGATTGGTTTTGTATAAAAGACCTCGTCGCGTCGTTACATTTTTTTATCATACATTTGATTCGTGCTTCTACACCTTATCTAATCTATGAACCAAGCGGGGTGGATCTGGATAATCATATTGCAATGCTACACGTACGCGTTGCATCAATGCAATCAATGTTTGGAGTAAGAAGTTGACAAGAGTATGATCATTATAAAATACCGCGTAATAGACCATCAACATGTTCAAATGTTTTAGGGCCACCTTGACGATAGGAATCGAATGATCGAATAACAACATTATAAACAGCTGTCGATTGAATGGTCAATAATAATCATCACAAGGCTACTTTACCTTGAGTGGAAAGTCTCGGGGGTTTATTGATTACCATGATTTCCTCATCTTGATATATGATCATGGACCTGATTCGCGCGATCTCTTCTTGACTAAAAGACTGAGAGAGGATAGATGAATGATTATGAGGGTCCAATATTTACAAAGAAATTTTGCGATAAATAGATAGTAAGCCACCTGGATGTCTCGCTTTGTTGATCTGACAAGTTTCCTTTCAAGAACAAAATCCGGACTTCTCACAGTCACGACATCGCCCACTCCTACTTTACTCGAGCGATTTACACCTCTAGTTTGTTGTACCTCGTTATCTGTTGAGGTCTCATCCGATCCACTACTTTCTCTAGATTTTTCTCTCCATTTCACCTTATGAACCAAGAAATAAACCGATAAAATGAATCTCGATTCTCGTTCCCAACAAAAGTCAACTAATGTGTTTTGCAAATCCTAATTCTCAACCTCATTTTTCCTAATCTTCTTTTGCAGAACGGAAATGGGAAGGCCAGTTTTAAGATGTAGAAATTTGTCAAGCCTCATGTCGTTATGCTCCTCGTTAACCACAAATTCGTGTGTTTTAAAGTAACCACCATTTATCGATCTTGTAACAAACATCTGGGACATCGATGCCGTTGAAAACATCCTTTTTTTGGAAGGCAATGGCAAGTTCTGCGAAAAATAACGCGAAAATGACATTATGCGTAAACATTCATCATGATGAGTTAACCAGAAGTCATCAGTTTTTTTTTTTTTTTGAACCACGTGATGATATCGGGTACCAATAATGATTTGACCTTTATTCTTCATGTGATTTAAAAAATAAATTTGCAATTTACATGTGCGATATGATGCAATGACATAATCTTTGCGAAAGAATGAGAAACCTAACATAACGAGAATATATTGTGTGAACAACTAACATATATCAACAGATTCCACCAACCGTATCAACTTGATCTTTGGGCCGTCCAAATGTTGCTCATTAAACTTGTTTGCCCAATCCTCGTTGACTTCTTCGTCATCTTTACCAAAAGTTTCCGTTGAAGTCTTTGATTTTGCATATCCGCCCAAGATAAAATCACTTTCAAATTCCGCCCTATAAATCGATACTTCTTTCAACACATTTCTCCGATCTGTCGGGTTGAGATCTAATCGAAGGTTATCGTTGATTCTATTTGAATCATTTTTTGAGGCACCCGAGTCGTCACTCTCGATACCGCAACATTCAATTAAACACCAAATGAACTTCGCCGAAGCATGTTCAGGGATATCGTACAAGATTAACTTATTTAAACTCTTAAACCGTGAAAAATAGAAATATATTAAACATTTATCTTGCGTCGAGAAAGGAAAAGAATGATAAATAGCATTAAAACTGATCGAAAGCACTTTGAGCTTCTCGCATCTTATCGCAATCAACTCCCATAAACCCTGGGTCAAAACCGGAACACCCTTCATATTATGCATCCATAATTCTTTTAGCGAATTTTTGTTTGCCATCAACAAGTTTTCCAACCCACTGCTACTAATCAGTTGGCTGCAATTACTCAAGTTAACTACCTCCAGGTGCTTGCAATGATTAGCCAGAGTGTTAATACTATTGTCACTGATTTTTTGCATCGATGAAAAATTAAGATTCTTCAACTTTTGTTTTCCAAACTTTGCTATGGCATAGATCGATACATCGGTAACTCTCGATCGGGAATTGGATATATCAATCGTATTTAAATCTTGACAATAATAAGAAATTTGTGAAATTGAACTATCGGATACCCCTGAACAACTATTTAGATTGATTGCAAGTAATTCTGGAAATTTTTGTATAAATGATTTAAGTAAATTCTCGGTGACGTTCTTTGAATGTTCCAAGTTCAAATATTGGAGATTGATGTGATCTCGTTTGCAATTGGTAATTAGTTTGCGAATCGCCATTGTGGTTAAGAAGGGTACGTCTCGAATTATGAGTGAACGTAAGTTGGAACAATTTTGAATAACTATCGTCAACCAATTATCATCTAGGGTTTCGTACAACGACTCCTGGATCTGGCTAACGTCTATGACCTGAATGAGGGACGTGGTTTCACTTCCTACATTCTTCAACGTCCTGAGAAATTGCTGGAATGCCTGTAGCGAGGTTGATCTCTCATTTCCGAATTCTGGTTGACACCACAGTTTTGACTTTGCAAGTTGACCCCAGGTCTTGTTGATAAGGGAACAAGCCCAAAGGTCTCCTTGACACAAATAACTCAGGATTTGCCCTCGAATAACGTCGTACTGCTTTCCCGTAAAGTTCATAAGGTTCATTCTTAAAATTGGGAGAAATCTTATTTACGACGTATTGCTAATTTTTATCACCTGAATACGGGTCATGGTGACACAACCAGATGACATCCTATTTCCTATTTTGCCAACGCGTATTTGTGAAAATCAGAATTCTAACGTTAAGGTATAGATGGTTTTCCATCAAACATACTGAGAAATCTAATTACCGATTTTATTTCATTCAAAATGAAGTCTGATAGCATATTTTCTAAAATAATATCACATACAGTGTATAATATGACAGAAAATAATATCACATATACAGTGTATAATATGACAGAAAATGAAATGTGTTTATATCAAATGTGAAATTTTATAATAGAATTCTAAATTTTAATTAAACCTTAATGATTAATTAGAACTTTCAAGCTATTATTATATTGTTTATTATATTCGTTGATTATATTATAAATGCGCTTTCACCAAAATAGAAATCTGTATTGTTATGCAGTTCCTGAATTAGCATAGTTAGCACATCGTTTGATGTCCACCATAAATACGATGTACACAATGTTTTTGACCTAATCTTTAGTTAATGCTCCTTTTTTTCCTTTTCTGTAAATTTTTTTCCCACATTATTTCCCACAGTATCTCGAAAGAGTAGTAAAGATTTCGTCATGAATTCTAAAAAAATATTCCTCGGTGACGTACTCACAACACATAGACTATTCAGGCGTCTCCACGCCCCCTTCCACATCAACGTTTGTTTCACTGTTATCATCTTCGCTACTATTCATCTCTATGGTCTGACCCAGACAACTATTCTGTATCACATAATCAAAATCCACCCCTTCCATGGTTGTCATTTTTACACAGTACCAATTGTAATTATCAATGTGCAGTAACTCCCATTTTAACTCCGGTATAAGGTATTTCAAATGACACCCGATCTCCGTTCCAAATTTGTCCAAGATTACATATCCCACCGATACATATGGTTTCAATAAACTGGCGACGGTACGGTATATCGTCGCCGTGTCATCCACCCCACGAATTTTCACGTGTGGTTGATGTTTGTTTCTTCGGAAGTCGATTTCCACGGATGATTCAAATTCACAAAGCACTTGGTAGAATATTTCATGAAGGGCGTCAACAAACGAATCAATTTTTGTGGTGATGGCGCGTTGGGTGAGTGATGACCAAACTGAGCTAATTGGTAGTTGAAAGTAGTGTATTTCTTCTTCAAGTTCCTCCCGGGTGATCAAGCGATCTGTAGGCGGGTGCATCCCTCCTCCATTTCGCGTAGAAGAACGAAGTTGATGTTGATGAAAAAGAGTACTCTCTCGAAAGTTGATTTTTCCTGTTCGGTAGAATTCCAAGATGTAATAGAATATGTAACCATTACGATCGATAAAATATTCATTACTGCCCAAGTGCCGTAACAATGGTTTGTTGTGGTTGGCGAACATGGTACCAAGAAACGTGTCCGGATAAGCTGTTAATGTGGATTTATATGTTTCGTACTAAAAATCAAATAAAAAAATTAAGATAATGTTAAAGTCGTCGTTCGACGAAAAAGAGAAAAAAATACCCACCTTTACACCGCCGACGTTTAATACAATGTGCTCCGCTTCATCAATACTATTGGCAGTTTGAAGATCTCTCATTTTACTATGTGAACCTGTGAAGAGAGAGTAGATTCGGTTGATTTTTTACAAACACGGCTTTGCTATCGATACGGGTATTTATTCTATTTATTCATTGATAATTGGACGAGGATCATTACCAACGTTGGAAGGTACCTGAAAACCTTATCAAAAGTGGCTTCATACTAAAGACAAGTGAGAAGGTTTAATCAAGACATTACCATTTTGAGGATGAACCTCTATGCAGCTTCAAGATCACTTGAGAATTAAACAATCCAGTCTATAGTCCACGTACTTAATTCTTATTTGAAATCGAAATTCGCGGGTGTGTGCATAACAGCTGACGAATCAAGTTGTTACCTTATCTCGAAAACAATTCCATCCTTTTTTATAAATCATTTCGTTATTCATTCATGTGCTTTGGTTGATACGTAGAATGTGAGCATTAATTTCACATGAATGTTGTGCCGTGAAGTTCCTCGTAATTACTTTCGTTTAATGCGTTTGATTCTTTTAGGAAATTGGATCTAGCTGTTTTTTAAACTTGTAATTACATTCTGTACACACAACACAAATATAAGTTTCACGTCGTTGTAAATATTTCTTTAGATAAATAATATACTGTACATTGTAAAGAAAATACTTGCGATAAGAAATTTGGATTCTTAAACTAACTGTTTTTATTTTTATTATAGTACACAATTAAACTGCATATCATAAAATAATTAAAATTGTTAAAAAATAATATCTGCGTGATTTTTGCGTCATTATACTTTTATCTCACTTGTAATATGCAGTATACTGTATATACTGTATGTGTATATAATGTTTCTAATGTTTATAAGCTCTCTTGGTAATTCAAAATTGAATTGAAATTTAAAAATGTGAAATGCCAATAATGATCTTCAATTAAGGATTAATTTTTGATAAAAAAAAAAGTATTAAAAAAATCAATTAAATAAATGATTTCAAGTAAAATAATGTTTTTAAAAAAATATTAATTTAAATTATAAAAAAATATATATAATATAAATATTATTAAAAAAACTTTATTATAATTAAATAAAAAAAAATTGGATGATAATTGATATTATTTGTATTTGAATTTGAATTTGAATTTGAATTTTTTATATTAATTTATATAACTTATTTATTCAAAAATTAAAATTAAATTTTATTATATCAAATTAAAATGTTATTTTGAAATTTTCAAAATTTTTTGAAAAAAAGAATTATTTTTATTTCATAATACCATTATATTAATTATAATAACCAATATTATATACTTGTAATTTACACAATTTGTTTTTTTTTTTCTGCTAAAGTTTTTGCAATTATATTTTGAAATTGTTAAATCTATTAGAAATTTTTTTTTAAAATTCATATATTTATTGCTATTGTTTTTTCAACAATTAACTTTGAAATAAAAAAAAAGAAATTTATAAATTTTCTCAAGAATTTTTTTATCAAGAACAATTAGAAAGATATGTTTTCTATAAAAATTAAAAATGATCTTTTCAAAATTAATTCATTTCTTTTTATTCAGATTAAGGATCTTATAATATACTTTTAAAAATTAATTAAAAAAAATTAAATAAATAAATAAATAAAAATAATAATAATAATAATAATAATTGAATAAAAAAAATTTTATATCCTTTATTTATTTATTTTTTATTTTTTCTTTGTCTATTATTTTTATTTATTTTTTATTTTTTCTTTGTCTATTATTTTTTTTGTTTTGTATTTTTTTTGTTTCTATTTATTTCTGTTATTTAAAAAAACTAAATAAATAATAATAATAAATAAATTATTTTTTATTTATAAAATTGTATTTTTTAATGGGTAATTATTTTTGAAAGTGGATCGAAAATTTTTTGGTATGATCCTAAAATTTATACTATATATGTATTATTTAAAAGTTGGGTCCGAAAAAATCATATCTAGCATTTTTGTCACCTTCAAAAATAATTATCCAATAATTATTTTTTTAAGCTTACTGTAATAAGATTTTAGTAAATTTATTAAAATAACTTGTAATAAAAGAAAAGAATTTCAATATGCCTAAAGAATTTATTTTTCCATATTTTTATTATAATTATATTTGATATAACAGAAAATATTAAAAACAAGACAGTTAATAATAGCATTATAAATTATTTTTTTATAATTAATTTTTATTCTTTTATATATAACAACAACCAATTAATTATATATTGTTAAATAATAAACTTTGAATAATCCTGTATATATTACATGTATCATATAAAAAATAATATTACAATTTTGTTTTTTATATATAATTCTTAAAAATATTTCTAAAATCATATTTATTTTGATATTACTTTAATCATATAACATATAAAAATACCTTAACTATTGTATTACTATCTTTTTTATTAATAAAAATATATATATCAATATTTTAACAACTATAACCATTATAAATATATAAGATACTTTACTGAAAGTGCTTATTTTTTTTGCTATTCCATCATTGAAACTTTACCAAATCACCACAAAGCCGTCATCAAATAGTCACGATATTCGTGAAAAAATTGTCCCAATTTAGTTACAGCAGCAGTAACTATTTTGCTATCAAATCTCCTCAATTAAGTAGCAATTAAGAAATTTCGAATTTTCTACTAAGTCGTCACCAAATCATTACAAGATCACAGCGATTTGGTTGTGATTATGTATAGATTTATTTGCAGAATCGTCTTACAATAATTGGGCAAACAACATAATTACGATTAAGTAGCAATGTAGTTATGAATTTATTGAGATTATATATTGATGTAGTTACGAATTTATTGTGATTAAGCTACGATTATGCAATGATGCATTTATAAGTTTATTAAAATTAAATAGTAATGTAATTTTGATTGGACAGTAAAGTAATTACTATTATATATATTATACATCTATTAGATCGCATTAAAGAAATAATCATTTTTTAAATAATACATATTTGATAAATTATAACCATCAATGCACTTTCCGAATATACAATTGTGAACAAAATTAATCCTATTCATCTGGTCAACCACCATTAATGGATAAATCTGTCACTAACTTCTATTTCTTGTGGATTGAATCTTGTAAATTGAACATTCTAGCATTCCATTTGTTTGTTTGGTTTTTTCAAACCAATCAATCACAATAAAGGTATAAACATGTCCATTGTTATATTTATAACTGAAAATTGCTTGAATCTTTGCGTAATTCTCACCTTTTTCGCTAACATTGATAGATATGACATCTCCAAGATGCAACAAACATTTTCTGGGAATGTCATTATCATCCTTTTCTGAATAAGTCGCACTCTCGTAGAAACTTATTGCTTTATTAATAAGAGCCGAGTGATTTTCAAAATCACAATAAGAAAGCAATAGTTCTGATCTAAATTCTGAGCCATTCACTTGACATGGTACCATTTTTTCAAGATTTCGTTGTGGAATTTTTTTTCTCAAGCTGGTATTAGAAATATATTCCACTTGTAAATGAACTAAAATTAATAAATTTAATTAATAATATTGATTAAACGGTTTATTTAAATTATAATGATTAACCTTTGATATCATTGCCTTCATTACAATCAAAGTGTTTATTAGCAATAAACCAGTTATCAAATAGCCTTTCGACACTTCGCGAAATATTAACAAAATCTTGACTATTACTCAAGAGCCTGCTATCAATTCCGCCATTGATTAAATGCCGAATAGCAAATAATGTTGTGTATTTTTTCACTAAGTCCAATTTAACATTTTTATGATTGGTTCGTGATACCATGCCTTTGAAAATTTGATGGATCATTTCTTTTATGCCAACCCCAGTATTAATAAGATTAGCGAAGGTTTGTGCATGTAATGGTAAATGATAATTGATATGAAGATTGAGAATATTCTTAAATTCTTCAAAAACCTAAAAATAAATATTTATTAATAAATAGTAATTTATAAAAAAATTCGATAAAATTTAATTATTTGAATTAGGATTTTTCGTTCCATCTCTAAGCTTTGTTGAAGATCTTCATAATCTTTTTTGAAGTATTCATTTTTAAATGTTAATCTCATTGATTTGAAAATCAAAATCCAGCATTTTATTAAAGACTTTGGAACCAAATCAATGCGATTAGCATATATTCGCCACTGAATCTTCATCAATTCATTGTCTTTCAAATGAGAAGTCTTTAAGAACTGATTAAGAATAAATGGCATAACCATTGATAGTCAAAGGTAATTAGACATCATAAAACTTTCATGGTGGCTTATTGGATTAGGCAATCATGACCATTGTGTTGGATGCTCAAATTCTTTCCAGGTTTTAGTAAATGTTCTTTGACCCTCAAATAAAAATAAGATTATTGTTAACTTCAAAAGCCTACTTATTTTTCCTGCGGTTGCATGATAAACATTATGTGGCATTTGAAGGTGTTGGTTCCACATTAATTGGCTTAATGTTAGAACTTTGTTATGCAATTCATATTTTGTCATTAGCTGTTTGCTTCTTTGTGAAGTAATTGCCAATAAAATTTCTTGAAATTGTTTATTAGTAATATGTTGATATCTTCTTAATTCCATGATATCTAAGTTATCGCTTGTTGATTGATCCTTGGAAATCTGGCAAGTTCTGCATTCTTTATTAGCCCTATGCCATTTAGTGCCTGCAAGATCATTTCCTTGTGGAAGATCAGCTGTAACCACTTCTAATCCTGCAGTAATCCAACAATCTTGTCCTTGGATATTCATAATTTGACCACACTTTAGGGTCTTCATCTCCATGATAAAAGATTAAATGAACTCATCAAAGTTTCCACTGAAAGGTACAAATCCTAAAAGAAAGTGATTTTTCAATAACTTTCTCATGAATATAGGCATATTATCAAATTAGATGTAAACTCCTCCAAGAGAATGGTATACGTTTTGATATGTCCCGAAATTATCGTAATATAAATCGACAAATAGTTTGAAAACTGGAAGTTCAGAGTTTGGTGGTAAAGTAGTGAAGACATATTCAGC